TAAATCCCCCCAGGAACGCTCCTGGGGGGACTAGGGAACTCAACCCCTATCCCAGCCAAACTCACTTTCTCCCCTTCGCCCGGGGAGAAAGTTCCGAGCCGCAAAACAGCTGATCCGCGCTGTTTTGACGGCTTTGACGCAGTCCCGGGCTGGAGGCTCAGGAAAAAGCCTCCTTCGGCGGCGCCTCGCCACAGGAAGCCCCGCAGTACATCAGATATTGATTGATACTACAAGTAACTGGGATATTGACAGATTTGAAAACTATTTCAGGAAAATCTTGCATTTATATTAGAATGTTATTCTAATCAAATATTGCTGAATCAACAGTCCCAAAAGTAAATAAATGCAACATATAGTTTGGTTTTATTTTGCACTACCTGCCCTATAGTAAACAGTGAAGAAGTTTGAATATCCGGTCCAATATGAGTTAATTGTACTTTACCATAAACTTAAAACGTCTATATGATTTCTTTTGTCATTGCCCCAAATGTTTGTAGTATTGCTAAAAGGTTCTTAAATTCTGATGAGAAGTTCTTATTCAATAGAGTTTTATTTGAGAAAAAATGAAATGAAATTGTACTGCTTTGATTTGCTATTTAAATGGAAAAAATCCATATTTTTTCTCCCAAGGTCCTTTGATTGGTCAGTGCCTTGACATTTTCCCTAGTTATCAGCTGAGCATTCAGTTGAATTGGTGTATTTTTCCCATTTTATTTGGAATTAAAGAAAAAAAATCCACAGGGGTTAAAGGAACTTTTACAAGTTAATTTATCTGAAACCTTCATGACACATTAGAGGCCAGAAGACCATTCCAGGGCATCAGAAACAGATTTTCATTTTTTTGATGGTCCCGAAACTTTGATCTTTTAACTACAGGGAAAGAGAAGCTTGTGATTCTGGATTACATATGTACTTTGATGTAAAAACCTCCATTCCCTTTTATAAAGATTTAATCTCTACTATTCACAATGAGTTGTAATGAGCAACCTGAGAGAGATCTACCCAGATGTATTATAAAGTAGTGATAAAATTGTAATATAAAACAGAACGAAATATAAATATTGTATTTCTGTATAAAAGATGATATTTTGTAGTAAAGCTCCATGCTCCAAATATTACAAAATCCAGTGTAGTAAGTAAAGAAATCAGACAACAGGAAATGTCTTCAGATAGCTAAGAACCCACAGGACAAAAAACTGTATACTATTCTTATTAGGCTTCTTCCTTCCTTCCTTCCTTCCTTCCTTCCTTCCTTCCTTCCTTCCTTCCTTCCTTCCTTCCTTCCTTCCTTCCTTCCTTCCTTCCTTCCTTCCTCCCTCCCTCCCTCCCTCCCTCCCTCCTCAATCAATCAATCAATCAATCAATCAATCAATCAATCAATCAATCAATCATATTTCTGAACTGCCTATCTCCCTCAGAGAGGGTCTCTGGTTGATATACAATATAATCAATATATAAAGAATGTATAAAATTAACATTAAATTATTAAAATTAATTTAAGATTTAAAAACTTAAAATTATAACATAAAATTTCAAGAAGGTAAAAAAATTCAAAATGGGCATTTAGCATTAATTAATACAGGTGGAAGGTTTCTCATGGGGCCAGCCAGCCTCACAGTTGTGTGGTTCTTTGTGCCTCCCATGCAAGGTCAGAGGACCAAGTTTGGACTCCTTTGCAGAAGGCCAGGAGATTGTACATCTGTAAGCTAGTACGTATTTAAAGAATAGTACTCAAAGATAGGAGAATCATCGGGTATGCCTTGATAACTGGTCCAGATTAAGTAATCCCCCTTCCCCTGCTTGGGAGTTGCAAATTGCATCTTGTATTGTAATGTAA